CTCGGCTGGTTAATGCTTGTCGGTCGTGTTTGCTAACATCTGTGTAAGTGTATCTCCCTTCTAGGTTTTTTAAGAATTAGTGAAATTGGTAGGAAATTGTTGATGGGGGAAGTAGAGTTAAGGGTTTCTAGTTGTGTTTTGGCTTGAGGTGAGAGTGATTCGTGTTTTTTCTTAGCACATTGGTGGAATTTGTTATCTTTTTGTAATTCTTGTTGTAGCCCAAGACCTTATCAGGAGTGATGTATTCTAATTTGAATGTTGTTAAGATTTTCTTAATAATTTAGTTCAGATCGTAGTTTTGATCTGTAATATAGTATGAAAATTACTATATCAGAATGAGCCCGAGCCAAGATGTGACGGAACCAAACTATTTTACGACGTCATATCAGAAGCCTTCGGTTTTGATTGGCCAAGAACTGATGGTCAACGAACGAAGTAAAAACTGGGATCCACAAGAACGGCTATTAAAGTAGTTCTGCTTATATAATCACAGATGGTACTATATATGTCACTGGTAGAAGATGATCTGATCAGCTATCCAAATAACAGCAGCAAAATTAATTATTCCAAGTTGTTTAAGTATGATAGCAATTAATATCAAACAAAGTCGTAAGGCGTACATCAAGTCAAATTCTTATTAACACGACTATTCATATTAACCACCAACAGAAACATATTGATCTTGGCTACCTCCAACGCTCACGCCTTCTCAAGGAGTTTCTTTATATCCTTCTGTTGAATAAAGCAAGAAAAAAAGGCACGCCAAAAATGATCAATGCTGTTTTTAAAATAGTCGAGAATAATATATATGGACGATTGAAGGTTAACCTCAATGCTAAGAGGAGATGTGGTGGGAGCATAACGGTCGACAACTCGGCCCTCTTTGTCCACAAGGAATTTGGAGAAGTTCCATTTGATACTGTCCCCAAAAATGCTGCTTTTGATCGACTTCATGTACTTGTATACTGGATCAGCATTCGGACCATTCACCTCGACCTACGTGCATAAATAATAATTTTTCTAACACGTTTTGTAGCCACATTTACATGACCGGCTACAATAATACTACCACAAGCAGAGAATTCGAAATACAAATGTAATTTTGTAAGAAACAGAAATACTGTTTCTAGATGTAAAACCATAACAGGCTATTCAAAGGAGGAAAAAGAAAAGAGTAACAGTAAGCTTTTCAGTTTTTGCTACCTTGTCAAATACAGGATATTCAGCCTTGAACCGAGTGCACACGAATTCCTGAATTTCTTCATTGGTGCCAGGCTCTTGTGAGCCAAACTGATTGCAGGGAAATGCCAGTATCTCTAGACCTGAGTCATTTGACGATTAAACATGCCCAGGTTTAGAGAAAATCTATTAATTAAATGAATAAATAAAACATAATGTTGAATTGGAACTCTTTAGCTTGATAATCAAGATTTTCATGCCTCAAAATTAATGAGAGGAAAGCAAAACTGTTTTTAATTCGCCAAAATCAAATGTTCCATCAACAGAACCTTAAGTTAATAGGCTTAACCAAAAGGCGAAGTGTAAGCCAAAACAGAACCTTGATCTTTGTACTTCTCGTATAATTGTGTCAGCTCAGTGTAATTTGAATTAGTAAGACCACTGCAGAAAAATGAGACATATAAAATTCGTTTTAGATAAGAATATAAAAGAGACAATATATTACTATACCCAAGCAATAATTCAAGAAGGAAGAGGAAGAAACAAACGCTACATATCGCTGTTGGAAAGAGAATTGATGAAACTTAACGAATCTCACCACACCACAGAATAAAAAACTGAGAGGAAGAACAAACGCTATATATCTCTGTTCAACCATGCTTGACAGTTGATATAATCATAAAGCACAAACTAAAGAAATCCACATGTAAATACATCCAAAATAAACTAAAAGGTCATATTTTCATAAGATTATTCACTCCATTCATAACTAACTCTCAAGAGAGAGATAGCCATGCATAAGGTTATACAATCGACCTTCAAACTCCACCGGCTGGCTACACTACAGAGAGCCACAAAAGTCGTAAGCTTCATTCATAAAAGATATTCTTCATCACCTTAGCAATAACCAACTCGGCGTAACGAAATTGAACAAACTTTCACTTCGTATTCACGGTTTAAGAAAATGAAAACCGAGTATACAGAGAAGCCGATGCATACCATTGTGAAGCAACATTGACAATCAGCAGGACTTTGCCCTTATAAGTACCCAGATTGACATCACTGCCCTTGGCATCCTGCAACACCATCAAGTTTTAGACTACAATCCCTTCAAATTTCCCACAATGATGACATGAAAACTCCATTTTTCGTTCTGCTAAAGCAGAATCAAGACGCAGAAACGACACCGTTCCAAAAGATTCAAACTTTTCGCGAGTCAACCCGAATCAAAATCCATAACAAACTGAACCGACAAGAAATTAACAGAAAACGTGATAATATTATAGCAGAAAAATACCGTAAAAAAGATCATAAAAGGCCAGGAAGCAATTAAACATCATAAACCCAGATAAGATGCATAAAAATGATACCTTTACAGTGAATTCATGGATTGATTGGGCCGGGCTGGACTGGCTCTGGCTGGCCATATTGTTATTATCTTCAATCGGCTGATAAAACTGAAAGGTTGGATAGTTATGCAGTGGATCGAAATTGGTTCGCTTGCGCAAAAGTTCGGATAAAACTGAAAGGTTGGATAATGACCGTCGTGGTTTTATTAATTAATACAATTTGTTTTTAATAAAAAATAAAATTAAATACAATTTGTCTAATAAAAAATTCAAGCTTCTCCCTCGGTTTGGGTGCCCATGGCGGGGGATTTCGGGTTCGGTGTAGGATCCAACGGCTCCGATTGCTGTCTTTTAGAGCGGTTTGAGCCGAGGCCGATAACTATTTTTTCCGCGTGTCTTACTTTTTTCTAGTGCTGGGATGGTGGACTCCCGCGCGGGGGGACTTTCGGCTTCGGTCGTTATCGGTCGAGGTCGTCGGATTGTGCTAGGGGAGGGAATAAGAGCGGGCCTCGGATTGTTGTTCCGATGGTGTTCCATTCGGTAGAGGGGTATAGTCCGTTTGGTCGTCAGTTTGTACGATAGTTGTGCTAAAAAATAAGGTTTTTAAGACGTTCTTATTGCATAAAAAAAACCCAAGACGAAAATTATACATGAGTTTTCAGAGACTGATGCGGGTCTTTATCATCCTTTGCTAGTTCTGTCGCAACCTTGGAGTGTTTTTACCATGGATTTCGTGCTCGGGCTGCCTCACACTCAACGGGGCCATGATTCTATTTTTGTGGTCGTTGGTCGTTTTTCCAAGATGGCGCATTTTATTCCGTGTAAGCGCACGACTAATTTTGTTCATCTGGCGCAGTTGATTTTCGCGAGGTATATCGTCTGCATGGTTTGTCGTCTTCCATTGTTTCTCTGACCTCAGTAATCGGTTCTTCAGTCCTTTTTTTTTTTTTTTATGCATAGTATGTGACGCCAAGTTAATACTTGTGTGGACTTCAACCATTCACTCGACAATCTATTGCTCGTTTAGTTGGAAAGAACTTGCGCTCTTGGGATCACCGCCTCAGTCAACCAAAATTCGTCCATAACTCTGCTATTATTCAGAGCACTCGTTTCTCACCTTTTCAGGTGGTGTACGCAATTCAACCCTTTAGACCTTCTTGTCTTACCTTCCACGAACCATGGCGATCGGGGGTGGACGACTTCACGACGGAACTGCGACAGACGCATGAGGCTACGCGCGCGAATTTGGAGGTTGTTAATGCTTCGTATAAGCGGCATACGGATGAGCATCGTCACCATGTCGAGTTTGAGGTAGGTGATTCTGTGTGGGCGGCATTGACGAAGTTCTATGCAATGAGTATAACAAGTTGTCGGCCCACAAAATTGGCTCGATCGAGATTGTGGAGAAGATCAATCATAATGCCTATTGCCTTTGTTTGTCGTCGCACATTTGTACACCGGACGTGTTTAATGTCAAACACTTGGTGCCTTTCCGTGGTAATAATTCTGATGAAGACGAAAGACCGGATTACGTTGGTTTTCCTAATCAAACATGATCAATTGGCTTCTTTAAATTAATTTTTATTTTCTTTTATTTTATTTTATTTTTATTTAAGTATTTAAGTACTTTAGTCTTTTATTTGGTAAGAAAATTTATAATAAGTAGAGCTCTCTTATGTGAAGTATTCAAGACTTTTATTCTATTGTTTTGAGAGGTTGATTTTGATTTAATACACAAAAAATACGAGAGTTCGATCTCAATCTATCTGGCGTTTACACTTTCGACGTTCTGATTCTACAATACTAGGCCCGTCAACCCGCCCAGTGGCTATAGTTCTATCTCAATCTCTCACGCGTTTACGTTTACACTACATCACCGATTTTGATTCTACGATACAGGTGGGGCCGCCAACCTGCCCGATGGAGCCGGGCCAGGAACAGGCGGGCCGGGCTGTTTCGTCATGTCTAAATTTGTTACATGAGCATCATAATAAGTTAATTTTAACCAAAGATAGTGATACAAGGTATACAAATATGTTAAGCATATGTTACCACCAAAATAAAATAAAAAAACAAAAAAAAAACATCAAATATTGTAATCTTTGTTCTTTTTACACCTAATTAACTCAATCTGCTAACTCTCTCCAGCAGATTATTCACACTAATCATAAACGCATCTTGAAACTTATCAAACCTCGAATCCAAATCACCATAAACAAGCCCAGGCAACAGCTCAAACACAATGTACCTCCTCATATTCTCCCTCTCCCTCAAGGGAATCTTCATCAGCCGCTCAACAACATTCACTGTCCTGTTCCTCACCTCATCCTTATCCACGAAAACCGAGTACTTGTCCCGGTCCTCCGGGAAATGCCACGGGTACTGATAGTAAGCCGTGAACGGGTCGAAAAGCACCGGAATGCACCCCGACACGAGCGAGTCGAAAACCGACTTCCGGGTCGGGCTGTCCCCAGGCGGCTGCAAGCAAAACTCAGACTCCGTGAAAAGCCTGACGATTGTTTCGGGCCGATC